GTGATCATAGTGACAGGATCAGCCCCTTTGTCAGACAAAGGTAATGATCGGGGATGCACTCTCTCTGATGGAAACCAAGACTGCCGGCAGCTGATATTTCTATAATTTTATTATACTATATATTATATATATTAAATATGAAATATCGAGCTCTAGTAGGCTCGAGCTCGGCTCGTTTAATAATTGAGCCACTGAATTGGGCTCAAGCTCAAGCTCGAGCTCGAGCTCGGCTGAAACCGAGCCGAGCCGAGCTCGAGCAACTCGTGAAAAGCTTCGCTCGTTGCCACCCCCAGCTGGAGGTGACATGGATGGGTGGAATATTGCAAGCTTATTTCAGGGTGAAGGTTGTAACTGGATTAACTCATCTCCAAGACTCCAAAGTGTGCAAGGTACAACAGAAGGGGCAAATCGAGAGAACCTGAAGTAGAGCAGGAACACACCTTCTAGGGGTGAATCAGGGGTAGAGTGGAAAGATCACCAGGGTGACCAAAGGACAGAGGCACTTTCCCACCAACTCAAGGAGATAGACATTTACCAACCTCTGGAACAGGAGAGGGAGACAAGGAACAATCATTTTCCAACCTTTTCATCAATCCCAGGTAACCAAGTGAATCCGGTTTGTGCTACTAATGTGTTTTCTGTGTCTCTGGTTCCAGATTTCGTCCCAACGCCATGTCTTGTAGCCCATGAATATGCAACCAAGCTAGATGGTGGGTTGTCCGAGGTAGTGGAGAGGGGAATGAAGGACTGTGGGAAGGTGCGGGAGGGGAGATACAAGAACAAAAAAGTGTGGGAAATCATCGAAAGAGTGTTTAATGAAGTTGAAGGAATTCTGACTTGGAGGAGGGATGGGGAGGAAGGAAGAGGGGAGGGGTTAGTGGAGAGGAAGGAAAGGAAGGAGGGTAGAGTGGGAGAGGAATGTGGGGAGAGAACATGGTAGGAGGGAGGTAACAGGAGAGGGTGGATGGATGGAGAGGAGAGAAGAGGGGTGGGACCAGAGGTGAGGAGGGAAGGGCAGGGGGCAGAGATGGAGGGGAAAATGCAGGAAGGATAGGGGTGGAGGATTCGGTGAAAGAGGACTTGATAGTAGAATTTGTGGGGAAGTTGGGATGCAGGTTGGAAGATTTGAATGTGTTGAAAGAAGGTTTACAGAAGAGGAAGGAGATAAAAACAAAGAAGAGGAAATTGGGTGAAGTAGAGAGACTGAAAAGAGATGTAGAAGGGGACAAGAAGTTCGGGGTAACAAAAGATAGAAGAAAAGGGAGAAAGTAGTGGGTAGGTGGAGAGGGAGTTAAGAAAAAAGTGGAAATGAAGATACTTAGTTGGAATGTGAGGGGAATAGGGAGTGCAAGGAAAAGAGCAACAATAAAAGAGGTGATAAGGAGGTATGACCCAGATATTGTTCTGTTACAGGAGTCCAAGAGAATGGAGTTTAATAACAGATGGGCAAGGAGTGTATGGAAAGCCAGGGGGATTAGCTGGGTGGCTGCTCCTTCATGGGGTGCTTCGGGGGAGATTGTAACAATGTGGAATAGGGATGTGGTTGAAGGCCTGGAGGAGTTGATTGGAAAGTATTCGGTTTCCATGAAGTTTAAGTAGCAAGAGGATGGTTATGTATGGGTGCTTACAAATGTATACGAACCAAATGACTATAGAGAGAGAAAGGAGTTGCAGGAGGAATTGGTTGATGTTAAAGGGTTCTGGGATGGGCCATGGTGTGTGGGTGGGGACTTTAATGGGATCAAATACTTAAAGGAAACCAATAAGATTAATCAGAGGGTGACAAAAAGCATGAGGAAGTTCAATAGGTTTGTGGATGCCTTTGAGCTTAAAGAGATTCCTCTAGCCCACAAAACATGGTCAAATCTCCAATCTAGACCCACTTGCTCTAAGTTTGATAGATTCCTGTTCTCTTTGGATTGGGAAGAACAGGGAAGTTTGGCTTCTAGAGCTCTTCCAAGGGTGACCTCAGATCATTGGCCCATAGTGATTTGCAAGGAGGAAAGAAGTGGAGGACCCACCCCCTTTAGATTTGAAAATATGTGGTTACTCCATCCTGGGTTAACCAATAAAGTAAGGGAGTGGTGGTCTGACTGCAACCCAATGGTGGAATTGGGGGGGGGGGGGTGAGATTCCATAAGAAACTACAATTTGTGAAAGCAAAGATCAAGGAGTGGAATCTTTTGGAGTTTGGGAGGTTAGAAGAAAGAAAGAGAACTCTGATGGATTGACTTGAAAGCCTTGACTTTAAAGAAGAAATGGGAGAATTGGGAGAATTTGGAGAGGAAGATAAGGAACTCAGGAGAGGCTTGAGAAGACAGTTAAAGGATTGCYTGCATAAGGAGGAAATAAGCTGAAGGTAAAAATCTCAGTGTAAACGGTTGTAGGAGGGAGTCAGAAACACTAGGTATTTTCACTCTTTGGCAGATGGAAGGAGAAGGAGGAATTTTATCTCCAAATTGGTAGTAGGTGGAGTTGAGTGAACACAACAAGAGAAGATAGCTGGGGCTTGTATGAAGCACTTTAAATCCAAATTAAGAAGGCTGATAAGTAAAAGGGTGTGGGTAGAAGGATTGGATTGGCCAGATGTAGGGGTGGAGAACAGGAGAAGGTTGGAAAGAAGATTTGATTTGGAAGAGATCAAGGAGGCTGTGTTTTATATGGATAGAACGAAAGCTCCAGGGTTGGATGGGTTCACAATGGCTTTTATCAAGACTACTGGGATATTTTGAAAGAAAATCTTTTGTTGGTGTTTGGGGAGTTTTTTAGGAGAGGAATTATCAATCTAGGTGTGAACTCTACATTTATAGCTTTGATTCCAAAAAACAAAGATGCTTCCCACCCGAAGGATTTTAGGTCAAATATCTTGGTAAATAGCCTGTATAAGATCATTGCTAAGGTGTTGTCTTTGAGGCCGAAGGAGGTTTTGCTAGACATCATCTCACAAAATCAAGGAGCTTTTGTGAGTGGAAGAAAAATCACTGATCAAATCTTAATTGCTAATGAGAGTGTGGAGAACTTTAAAAAGGCTAAAAAGAAGGGAGTGGTCTGTAAGTTGGACTTGGAAAAGGCTTATGATTTGGTGGACTAGGAATTTTTGAGGAAAGTTTTGATCAAATTTGGGTTTGGTGCTAGATGGTAAAATTGGATCATGGGTTGTGTCCGGAATTGTCATTATTCAGTGCTAGTGAATGGGACAGTAGTAGAGTTCTTTCCAGCCAGTAGGGGTATAAGACAAGGAGATCCCTCTTTGCTTTCTTGTTCATACTAATTGCGAATGTCCTGGGAAAATTGATTCACAGAGTAGACTCGAGGGGTCTCATTAGAGATTGGAGAGCCGGGAGGGCGGAAACCCCCCTCACTTACAGTTTGCTGATGACACGATTCTGTTCTATGAAGGTGGTTACGTGAGCTCTATTAGGAACTTGAAGTTGGTGATACAACTGTTTGAGCAAATGTCTAACTTGAAGGTGCACTTTGGGAAAAGTTGTGTAGTGCGGGTGAATATGGAGGAGAGAGAGATAAGGGAGAATGCAAAAGTGTTGGGGTGTGAAGTTTCAGGGTGACCACTGAATTACTTAGGGTTACCAGTAGGTGATAATCCTATGAGGAAGAGCATTTGAAACCTGGTGGTGGAAAGGTTTGAAAAATAATTACCTCTCTCTTAGTGGAAGAATTACACTGATTAAGGCCACACTTGCTAATTTATCCATCTATTTCCTGTCTGTGTTCAAAATCCCAGTGAAGGTGTCTAACAAATTGGACAAGTTGATGAGAGATTTCCTGTGAAAGCCGGGAGAGGAGAAGAGGGGTCATAGAGTCAACTGGGAGGTAGTGTCCAGGAGTAAAACTTGTGGTGGTTTAGGGCTTGGGAATATTAGAAGAAGGAATATGGCTCTTCTAGGGAAGTGGTTTTGGAGGTTCCCCTTGGAGAAGGAGAAGCTATGGGCTAGAATAGTGGCAAGTATACATGGRCTRGAGCACAATGGTTGGGMTGCTGGAATCAAAGCTAGGACCACAAGCTTTTCTCCTTGGAAAGCCATTCACGATCTACTTACGGTATTCTCCCCTAATATCAGGTATGACTGCATTCTGGTAACTCCATAAAATTTTGGGAACAAACTTGGGTGGGGAATGCCCCTCTAAAGGATCAGTTTCCTTCTTTCTATGCTCTATCTGATCTTAAAAATGAGCCAATTTCATCCTTCATCACCCCGTCTTCTTCCAGTTCTGGGCTTGGGTGGAATTTGGGTCTAAGAAGGGCTTTGAAGGATTCAGACTTCAATAATATTTCGAGCCTTCTTGAACTTCTTGATAACATTGTCTTAGACCCCACAAGGGCAAGCTCTAGAATTTGGTCCCCTACCCCCACTGGCTTCTTTTCTTGTGTTTCCTTTTTCAAAGTCTTAAGCCAATCCACCAGTCCTGTAACCCCCCCTTTCCTTGCTGATGAGGTTTGGTGCAGAGCAATCCCTTCTAGGGTTGGTAGTTTTTGTTGAGAAGCCTATCTGGAAGATTCAACACTGGTGATATACTCCAAAAGAAGCGACCCAATACTTGCTTGTCACCCCATTGGTGTGTTCTATGTAAAGCGGATGGGGAGACAAGTTTTCACCTACTAGTGTCTTGCCATTTTGCGAGGTCAATTTGGGAGTAGGCTTTTTCCCTCTTTGTGCGTAGGTGGAACCCTCCATCAGATCTGCAAGGCCTTTTTTCCCCTTCTTTCTTTAGGTGGCGTAGGAAAAGGGGAAGGACTATGTGGAGAGGACTGAGGGCTGCAGTATGTTGGACATTATTGGAAGAAAGAAACTTTAGGATATTTTCAGAAGCTGAGAGAGGGGTGGAAGAACTAAAGGCTATCATTCATATTAGGGCTGTACAGTGGCTGAAATCTTTGGAACTATTCACAGATTACACAGTGGATGACATGTTGAGGAAGTGGGGTGAAATAGCAAAATGCACACAGACCAAGTCAGTAATGAGCGTGTCTTGGACCCCTCCACCTGCTGGATTCATGAAATTAAACTTTGATGGGAATAGTAATGGGAACCCTGGACAATTAGGGATTGGGGGTGTCTTTAGGAATGAGAATGGGGTAATTTTTGCCATGTTCTCAGGCCCAATTGGAGTGGGTGACTCCCTTAGAGCTGAGATCTTTGCAGTTATGGAAGGAGTCCAGAAAGCTAAGGAGATGAACATCAGAAAACTCCTAATTGAAGGGGATTCAGAGGTGGTGATAGGGTGGCTGAATGCAAACAGCAATGGTTTATGGAAGTACAGTAATCAGAGGAGAAAATTTAAGTGGCTGGTGCGGGAGATGGAAGTTAAAATGTGCTGGGTTAAAAGATCAGCCAATTCTCTAGCTGATGGTTCATCTAAACAAGGGGCATAAAGGGATTAAATGTTTTGGGCTAAGTTGTAACTTTATTGTCTCTTCCTATTCTTATGTTTTTCTTGAGGACCTTTGTTGTACTTGGAAGATAAGTGTGTTTGTCTTCCTTATGTAACTTTTTTGGTGAATTAATGAAACTGTTATTGATAAAAAAAAAAACATATTCTTAAGCACATAATTCCTCACCAAAATGACCAAAAGAGCAAATCAGAAGATTAATTCATCATCATCATCATCCAAGCCTTATCCCAACTATATAGGTCGGTTACATGAATGCTGTTTCACCAGTAAGTTATTGGCGCTTAGATCATTTCTTACTACTTCTACCATTGTCCTTTTTTGGTTTACCCCTTGCCCCTCTAGCCTCTTCGACTTGTAACAAATCACTTCTTATAGGTGTTGTTGATGGTTTTCCATGTACATGACCAATCATCTTAATCTATTTTCATTTTATCACCTATTAGAGCTACTCCTAAGTTCCTATGAATGCCTTCATTTTTTATCATATCCTTTCTAATTTTTCCATTCATCCAACCCAGCATACACATTTCTGCCTTGCTCTTTTCTGGACATGTTATTTCTTGACTGCCCAACAGTCTGCTCTATGCAACATAGCTGTCCTTAGAACCGTTTTATAGAATCAGCAATAAGAAGATAATGAGAAAACTTACCTTTTTCTGGATCTTTCTATCTGTTGTATCAACATCAACATAATAACCAGCCTGATGAATTTGATCCCGCACCTATAAAGACAAAGCAGAAAATAAAATAATGGAAATACTATCAAACAAATATTAACAATTTACAAGATAATGGAAATACCATCAACAAATATCTGTACACAGACAGAAAGCAACACTAGCACCTAAGTCTGCTTTTTATCATAAAATTCTAATTCAATTTCTGAAAGGCACCTCCAGGTTTATCCATTTGCATAACTAACTCTTAATATTGATCAAAATTAACTCTTAAACATAACAATGATTTCTAAGAAAGAAAGCGGGTGATAAAAGGGAGGACAAATGGCCCCTTTTGGCATCAATTCCGGAAAATTGTTGTACTCAGAATTTTCCAAAAAAATAATAATAATTCTGGATTTCCAGATTCTGAGAAAGAATGTGGGTGTTTGGCCACAACACTTCTTTTTTTTTTTTTGATAATTGAAAAAACAAAGAAGTGTTGTGGCCCAACGTTTCTTCCTTTTTCTTTAATATTGAAAAAAAATAATCTATTTTTTCTGCAACTCAACTGAGGAACCAAACCAGTCTGACCCACCATCTCTTTCCAACCGCAAAATAAAGACCATAACATTTAAATTGTTTAACCATAGGCAGAAAAATTCATCCAGAAAATAAAGAAAACAGAGCATTTGAATCATTTCACCATAGCATTAGGAAATATTCATCCACACGCACAAAAGAAAAAAGAAACAGTTGAGAAGGAAAGGAGGAAAAAATCAAAGAAAGAACCATTTTGTCTCTAGTTGCACTGTTGAGAGCAGAGGAGCCATCGGGGGTAGATTGAACAAATGAGAGACAAAAATTGATGGGGCCTAGTTTTTTGGACAGAAATTACCTTTGTTGCCCCTGCTTTCATGTGTATGCTGGGTACCATAGCATTAGGAAATATTCATCCACACACAAAAGAAAAAAAAAAGTTGAGAATGAAAGGAGGAAAAAATCAAAGAAAGAACCATTTTGTCTCTAGCTGCACTGTTGAGAGCAGAGGAGCCATTGGGGGTAGAGATTGAACAAATGAGAGACAAAAATTGATGGGGCCTAGGTTTCTTGGACAGAAATTACCTTCGTTGCCCCTGCTTTTATGTGTATGTTGGGCACATGTGTTCACAACTTAAAAAGGGATGTAGCGAGAATTGAAGGATGGCAAGAATCCATCCTTCCAGAAATGAAAAAAATTGTTTTTGAGAAACGCACACCAGGCCCGATTTTCCTTTCTAGAATTGAATACAAATTTGAGAATTGATGCTACCAAACATCATTCTCATCCAGAGGATTGCAAGAATCAGAAGAATCAATCCTCTAGATTGATACCAAACAGGGCCATAGTAGAGAAAGATATCTATTTTTGGATTCTTTGGTAGCAATGAGATGTAAGCAGGTCTGTAAAAGATATTAGAAGATGGCTAACTCTAAACAATCAAATGTAATCATGGTATGAGAAGAGAGGAATCAGGCACAGGGGGATTGGAAGGAGCTCTCAAGAATTAAGGTTCTGGTGTGCTTGATGCCAGATCATATTGCTATGTTGCTGGACCAGGTGAAATTTTACTTTTTTTTTCCTTCCATTCCTCTTCTTTTAAGTTTTATATGTCCTCTTTCTTGTCTTTTACCAATCAAAATAAGATAGACGTCATTTAATAATGCCATAATGGCTTAAGTGGTTGAACTGAACGACTTATTATTGTCTTTAAATGGATAAAATAATTAAATAGTATAACATGGGGCTTCATATATTCTTGAGGAACTTCTATGTAGCATTTCCTTTTTTATATCCTAGCTTATTGAATGCCATTTTGTATAAAACGTCACTTGGCAACAAAGGCAACATTTTAGGCCCCTTTTTGTAGGTATATAATGTTAGAATTCAAAAAATATGAATTATTTTAATAATATGTACTTTTCCATAGACATGTCTGTAATTCCATATTTTCTCTTGCCGGTCAAACTCTTAGACACAGCAGATTTCAACTCCTGTACTCATATCCATGTATCATTGGCTAAAAGACAAAGCAATAAGTCATTCAGTTCAATGGATGCTAGAACTCCTGCTTTAATATGTGCAGTATGTGGTAACTCCGCATTTGGTCCACTGACTACTAACAGTTCAATGTATATGCTAAAACCATAGATGATTCAAAAAACAGCTCATGCCTCATGCATACCTCATATAAAAAAGGCAGAAAGAAAGAAAAGGAAAGGGATTGCTAGAGGCATACACCTCATACAAGATACTCCTTTCAGTTAGTGTAATGTATCTTCATTCTTCTTAATACAAAATATAATAAAAAAAGAAACAAAAAAAAGATGAAATCCTTCTTCCTCTTCTTCCTCCTCATCCCCCTCCCCTCGAGAAAACTAAACTGAAAAATTTGATTAACTGAACCGATTGGTTTGGTATTCTTGAAAAACTGAAGGACTCGTTTTTGATTAACTTAAGCAAATCGGTATATATATATATATATATATATAACATATCATATATTATCTATTATATATAAATATATTATGTATTTATACATTTATTTATAATATTATATATATATACATAAACCAAAGAACCAAAACTGGTTGATTCAGTTCGATTTCAGTTGGGGGATTAAAAAACCAGTAGTATCAGTTCGGTTTCAAAAAATACCCCACAATTCAGTTAACCAAACCGTGAACATCCCTAAAGTAAGCTTACCCTTCTTATGCTTGAGAAGCTAACACCTCTTACATTCTGCAATACGCCTCACACCTCTAGGTAGTGAAACGCCTCACACCTCTATGTTGCCTTGCAACAAAAATTAATAGTTCTGCTCCTAACTGATTTGCAAACTGCATCCCTTGTAAGGCAGCTAATAGTTCTTCCCTAGTGGAGTCCCCAAAGTAAAAAGAGTACGACCTCTCCCTGTTCATTTCTCAAGGCACCTCCCAATACAGAGAGACACGGGTTGCCTTGACTGCTCCCATCAAAATTCAGTTTCAAAGACCCTCCACGAGGGGGCACCCAGCTTACCAATACCCTATTCTTTAAAAATGAACTTCTAGCTACAGCTGGCCAATTCCTCCAAATATCATTAAAAGAGAAATTGTGAAATAAGTTTCTAGAAGTAGAGATGGAAGAGGCCTAGGGATATGAAATGTAGGATAAGAAATACAGCATTATTGGGGAAATGGTTATGGAGGTGACTGTTGGTGAAGGGATGGGTTATCCATCATATGGATGGCGAACCTTCTAGGAATCGTATTCCCAATTTAGAAAATTACATTTTCAAGGTTTGTTCTTATAACCAAACCAGACAAAATCTGAAACCAAGATTATGGAGAAATATACCTGATACGGAATCCATGCAAAAATGCTCCTCCCAATGCAGGTGTTCACGCCCAAATACCAAATCCTCCCTCCACTGAAGATGACACAACTTAGGATGAGGCAAGATCAGTAGGTAGTTCTTCACCAAGAACTTTTGATTCTTCAACAAGAATCGAATGGGGTAGAGAGCACAACCTCAAAATTGTTTCTTCTAGCAAGAAAAAATATCAAGATCAAATCTTGATCAGTTCAAAGAAATGGAGATCGAACAAGGTAGGGCAGCAAGAGCAGGGAGAAAAAACTGAAGGTGGAAATAGTTAAATTGTGTTCTCTTCTATATGTATTTTTAGATCCGCCCTACTCTTTATATATAGCCTTAAAGAGATAATCTCCTAATTTGATTAGGAGCTTCCCGATCCAAATCTTTATTTGGATCTGAACTCTAAGCGATAAGGATAATCCCTTATCTTATCTGCAAATCAAGATCAGCTACTCCTAATCAAATTAGAAGTTTCCTGATCCAAATCTCTATTTGGATCTGGACTCTTAAGTGGATAAGAGTTATCCTCTTATCCTTATCTGCCGATCCATACCCAGATTCACCCCTATTTAATTAATCCAATTAACCCACTTCAAAATGGGCTTTAGGCCCATTTGAAATTTCTTCTCAAATTTGATACATAAAGACAATTTTATAAGGTTACAACTCCTCTAAAAAGTAAATCTCCATCACTCAGTCTTCTGCTTGTCTTGAACCCCTGCAATGTATTACATGCATGAGTAGAAGCCCCGGAGTCAATACACCAGGAAGCAGAAATGACCAACATATTGGTCTCTATGACAAAGGATTCGAAATTACCTTGTTTCTTGGTCTCCAGGTACTGAAGACAATTCCTCTTCCAGTGGCTGGTCTGCTTGTARAAGTGACAGGCATCTGATACCTTGTCCTTCTGCTTTTTAGGCTTGCTAGTTTTATTCTGAGGTTTCTTCTTTGCCTTCCTCTTCTTCTTGCCCGATTTGCAACCTTCAACAAGCATGGCCATGGGCTCATCCTTCTTTATCAGTTCTTCGGCCCTCTGCAACATATTGCTGAGTTCCTGAAGGCTAACATTTAGCTTGTTCATATTATAATTCATGATGAACTGATTGAAGGAAGGAAGCAAAGAGTTCAGGATGGCATCAACTTTGGTGACATGATCTAGCCCAAATCCAAGAGCCTCCGAGGAAACCTTTGCACGCCTCCGTTACCTTTTGGGAGGCCTACGCCCCATAGAAACTGTCTACCTGAGATTGTCCCTTGGCTCGTAGGTCCTGACAAAAGGTTAGAATTCTAGCTCTTCCAGAGTGGTATCTCACTGATGGCTCGGGCCCCCCCATCATCTTAAGACAATGGTCATGAACTAGTTGGTTCTTGGATATTTGAGTGGTCATAAACTGCTTTAAGACCTTTTGACGAGTGGAACGATTTTGCTCTTCGTACATGGTCCTTAGACTATCCAAAATATCCTTGAAGACTTCAATCTAATCGAACTGTCTTTGTTTCTGATTGTCTAAGGAGGCTATGATGTAGCACCGGGCAAGAGAGTTTTTCTCCTCCCATTCTTGATATTCCCTCCTGTGGGCCTTAGAGGCCCTATCACTCGGACGATCCAGAGAAGGGTTCTTAGCAAATTTGTCCAATTTCTCGGACGTCAGAACCAGCATAAGG